ATAAAAAAAAAATACCAGACTTCAAAAATTCTTCAAAAAAAAGTTCTGCCATAGAAAAAAAACCATAATTCTTTAAAAAATTTTAAATCCCCATATCTATCAGAAAAAGTTGGTTTGGATCCTTGAGGAAAAAAAATTTCGATTTCGTCGAGTAGTGTAATTAATAGAGTTGCCTTTATTCTCCTGAAGTTTCTGCAGCCTGCGGGGCATTGATCCTGCCAAGTTTTGAAGAGTTGATAGTTCAATCTTGGCCCATTTTGCAAGGATAGCTTTTTTTAAATCTTTCAAGGTATCGAACTGCCTTGTACATGCATAAACTTTTGCTGCAAGGATGCCCCACAGATCCTCAATGGGATTTAAGTCCGGACTCATTGCCGGCCACTTCATCAATGGAATGTTGTAGGTCTCGAAAAAACTCATTGTAGTCCGGGCAACATGAATCGGTGCATTATCTTGCTGGAATGTCCATTGGTCACCATGGAAAGGCTCAGCAAATGCAAGAAGTTCACTATCTAATAGTTGAATATAGGCTTGAGAATTCATTCGGCCGGATACAAAACATATTGGAGACTTGCCTTTAGCACTAAAGGCAGCCCATATCATAAGCGATCCACCGCCATGGTTCCGCTTGTGACAAGTTGCTCGTGGATGACGCGGATCCCTCCAGTATTTATGATGGCCGTATGGACAGTCTAAATTGAATTTTTTTTCATCACTAAAAATTTTATTTTTAAATTCGACGTCCCAGAACTTGTGTTGTTCATAAAAAGCCATGCGCGCACCTTTATGCCGTTTAGTTAAACGGGGTTTGCCAACTTTGTTTTCGTATAAGAGGTTCAAATTTTCGTGCAAACTTTGGCTCACACGATGCCTGGTGATTGTTAATCCGAGTTCTGCTTTGACTTTGTTGCAGCTCATCATGTCTTCGGTTGCTAACTGACGCATGTGCCGTTTTGTCCGGTTGCTGATGGTTGGCACTGGACCAAGGCGACGATTTATGCGGTAACCATCTGGATCTTTTAAAAATTTGGAAATAGTATTTCGATGTCGATTCATTAGTGAAGCGATTCGACCAGTTTTCATGCCGGCTATTTTCATTCCCTTGATCCTTCCTTGTTCTTCCTTAGACAATTCAGTACCACGAGGCTTTTTTAACTAAAACTGCAATTTTATGTAATATTTGCGATGGTTTGATGCAAAATTGAGTATTTACGTACTAAATCAATCCTCTTGTCACTTTTTCTGAAACGATGCTAACACAGCCACTCTCAAAACATGAATAAACATGAATGCACATATAACCGTTTTCTACGTATAGCTCGACTTTGATCTCTTATTTAAGCTAACGGTACCACAGATGGAGTTCAAAGAAGACGAGAATTTATGGTAGCTGAGCACAAACATAAGAGATAAGAACTGCATATTCAAAACAAACAGGCAGCTATTACTTTTAAAGAAAAATTGAAAACAAATTCTGCACATATAGCCATTTTACTAGGGTACTTCTTTTTGCTACATCTGTTATCTACATCTACATCTACAATGTATATTCTACATCCAACATGAAGATTCTAAATGTACCATTTAAATTCTAAATCTGAAAATTAATTTCTTCATTTTGGCTGTAATTATGATCCGATCTGATTCAGATTCGGGAATCTGGTAGATATGGTCATTCTCTACGATACTGCGTTTTTAGTTTTATCGTATCTTTAAAATTGTGCCTGCCACACGTTCTTTGTGGGGGCGGAAGGGGGCGGGGCGAAATTTTAAAATACACTTGTAGCAGTGTGATATCACATGAGTCTGGAAACCAAATTTGGTTGCTCTAGCCCTTATAGTCTCTGAGATCTAGGCGCTCATCAAGATGGACAGACGGACTGACGGACATGGCTATATCGACTCGGCTATTGATGTTGATAAAGAATATATATACTTTATGGGGTTGGAAACGTTTTCTTCTCTGCGTTGCAGGCATCCACTTTTACGACAAATACAATATACCCCTTAACTCTTTTTTGAGTACGGGTATAAAAAATAGTAAATGGTGTAAACCCACCCCCACCGGCACCCGCGCACTGGTAACTATCGTAAGAAATTATTTCATTCTTTTATTGCTTAAGCCAAATAGCAAATTAATAAAAATAAAAACACGCTTGAACAACTAAATACGTAAACAAAACCCCGAATACAGCTGCAGACCACATTTGTTAAGACTCTACTACTACACAAAACTGTGCTTTTCTCAGAAAATTCAGAAAGTAACTAATTTTCGACTAAGTGATAGATCAAGCGGCTGAATAGCCGACCCCATAAAGTATACATTATATTCTTGATCAGCATCAATAGCCGAGTCGATATAGCTATGTCTGCCACCACAAAGAACGAAAATCTGTGGCAGCCACAATTTTGAAGATACGAGAACACAGTATCGTAGTGATGGCCATATCTACCAGATTGCCGAATTTGAATCAGATCGGATCGTTATTATAGCCAGAATAAAGAAATAGATTTTCAGTTGCTTCAACCACCTCCTCCAGCGCGAGACCCGATACTCATTCTCTTTCTCGCTCGCACACTCCGCCTCGTTCAGTACGCGAGCGCCCCTAGCGGAGAAGATGTAGAATCTACAGTTTAGATGTATGTATAAGCTAGATTTTAAATGTGCTATCCATCTACAATGTAGATTATACCTTCTTTATAAGCTACATTTTAAATGTGTTATCGACATTGTAGATGTAAATGTAGATAACAGATGTAGCTAAAAAAAAGTAAAATATTTTGAAATTCCAAATAAATCATAAACTCACAAATTTAGATACTGACTGAGTCGGGTATAAAAGTAGAGTCGCGTCCACAGAAGCGACTCACACGTTCCTTCTCGTTTTTATTTGCATTGCTGTCAACACTCGGCAGTCCAATCCTAGCTGCTTGGCTTGTCTCAGATGGCTATGTCAGTTAAAATTTATAATTCTAATAAATTCTATGAAACATATTATCATTCTTCCTTCTGTGTGTTGCTGCTTGGCTTGTCTCAGATGGCTATGTCAGTTAAAATTTATAATTCTAATAAATTCTATGAAACATATTATCATTCTTCCTTCTGTGTGAAAAAATCTAGTCAACTAAATAGGTTAAAAATAAATAATATACATTAGGCTGGGCCAATATTTGACCAACAATTTTTTTTTCCATTTTTTCAAGTGGACACCCCCCAATTCCGTTCTTTGTTATGCAATAAAATTATACAATTTTTAGTTTAATGGTTGGGGATTGCTACCACGAAAAGAAAATACAAATTTTTGGGTAAATATACATAACAAAAAAATCTAATTCGTCGGTTTTTTCAAATAATATTAAAACTTAGAAACTAGTTCATATTGTTAATAAGGTATTTTTATTTTTTTTTTAGTTACTGTTACAAAATTAACGATTGGTAAAAATCAAGAAGTTCAGCTGAGGTTGATATATTTAGCTAACTAGTTCGCAAAAACTTGTGCAGATTTTTTACTGCCAATAACTGATTAAGGACGATATGAATGTTATCAATATATATGCAATAAAGTTTTTTGTAAAATTCGGTAGCAACCTCAAAAAAATAAAAAAAAATAAAATCATGTAAATTACTATTAAATACAAGGTAACAAAACTAGGGGGTGTCCCGTTTTAAAAAAAAGTTGTTTGGCCCAGCCTAATATACATACATCTATCTATAAACATATATAAAAATGTTGCGTTCGTAACTCCAACATCTATTCGAAAAGTACTGAACCTTTTGAGCCCAAATTTAGACACACTATAGAGTTATGTTTAAACTTCGTTTTTATCTTCTTTTTATATCAATACAAGCGACCGAAGAAATATGCAATTCATTGAGAGTCCCACGTTTAATATTTTCTAAACTCGATCTACACCGCTGCAGCGGACGAAATAAATAACTGTCTCAAATATTCAACAAAGATGTCTACGAACTCAACAATGTGATTCAGTCCAGTATTCAGAACAACGATGTGACCCATAAGTCTATTAGCACCGTCTTGGAATCAGATGAAGCGATTAAATGGAAAGACAAAATATATATACAATATATTAAACTTAAGCCTGAAATTAGCCATAAAAAGGGAATGTGCCACAGCGAAACGTGGCAGGGTACAGATAGTATACATATACAAATTTCAACTTGAGCTTTCACTCTCACTAGAAGATGCGACAAACTTCTAAGTCCATCACAGTCATAGAAACGATATAGAAAGCTACGATTGTTCCTAGATTTTAAGATTGGCCTTAACTGACCAGAGCCCAAACTCACTCCATAGCAGAAGCAGTTCATTGTCTGCTTCTCGATTAAACTGCAAAAAAATGGGTAAAATTCCTTTCCTATTAAGCTAAACATCGACCGCAATAATTTTCCCTGACATATACATAGATACATACACACAAAAAAATAAATAAAAAAAATGAAGTTATTTTTCTTGACAGAAAACTTGTATGCTGCTTACTTGATCATTAAACACAGAATAGCCAAAACTCTTCGACCACAAACTATCATTTATCTTTCAATAAGGTCTGAAGGTCCGCGGGTTCGGTGATGAGAGCCGTTGGGGATCAGGTAAGCATCTTTCAGTTCCATGTATATAAATTTGTTTGCGCAGTTGCACGTAGCCAATAAAATGCTCAAAAAGTGTATGCAAGGTATCAAGTAGAAGTCTGAAAAACATTCCTAAATAAATAAATCATGATGGGTTTTTCTTTGGGCACGACTTGACTGAACTGTTTACCCTACCACACGCTTGACGGAACTTAATAGACTCTGGATTTTTTTATAATTTTTTTTTATGTGGCGACTTTGACTTAAATTTCTGGCAACATATATTCATACGGTACCGGTACCCTCTCTTCCCACTTATTATTTTTCTTTTATGGGAACAGCGAAAAAGCTTCGTCGTCTGAAGCTAAAATTCCTGGCTTGTATTACTTTAAATATAATTCAGCCCCTAAGTATCTGATGTATCGCACTCATCTCCAGCTTGCTTTTCAAGCAATATTTTTTCATTAGCCGGTGCTGGCGAGAGATCCTGAGTTAGCGCAAATTATTTTCATTTATTTAATTGCTTAATGGAAGAGCGAACGCAATGTTTATGAAAATTTCCATCGGATACATTAATGTCCAACGAACTCGCTTTATGGACCTAATGAAGCAGTTGGCTTACATACAAATTTCATACATTTACATCTTTCCATCTTAAATATGCAAGATATTGAAGGATTCTAAGAAACCATATCTTTTGTTCTTTTTTCCAAATTATCGTAAAAATGGATTCAGGCTCGGCAAAATACAGATCACTTTATATATGGTCAGATCTTCGACGCCAGTCGAAGTCCATGCTTAATATTTGGCCATATTTAATATATGTACTTAATATGTAACATATGTAACATCCTAGTAAGAAAAAATTTTGGTAAAACAAACAACAAATGTGGGAAAGGCACGTATTCATACAGTTTTAGGAGCCGTACATGGGTATTAAAGCCTTAACATCTGGCAATCGCGACGCTCTCATACCACCCGCTCCTTCGATAGTGAGGCCTGGTTCTGGTTCACTCGCAGCTTCCTTTAAAGGAAATCATTCAAGCGTGAATCAGGTGTTTCGTTCCCTCTTTAGTTGTTTGCTGCGCAAGCATATTAATGAGGCCCATATTCCTAAAGTGCTGCCCAATTACATCGAATTTGAATATAGCGAAGACATCTTCCTGAAGACATTAACAGTTACTTTGTGTCCTTTGCTACACCTAGCTGACAGCTTACTTGTACAGAAACCTCTTCCAGTAGGAATCGCAACATTACATACATACTCACATAGGTATGTATGTACGAGTAAGTATAATGCTCGCACCTGTGCAGTGGGGTAACTATAGTTCTGCTTGAAAAAACACCAGAAACCCGTAGGAAACATTTGCTTACCAAATAGTTTGAAGCGTTTGAAACCAGGTCCTTTGGGGTTGTGGAAATAATATGTGTACTTAGATACATTTTTGGTTTTATCGTGTTCGTTACTAGCTGTTTTAGCTCCGATTGACGGATAGTGCATACAAAAATATTCCACACTAAATACTAATCATGTTTGAGCATGCAACACAAAAACAAATTTTTGGTCTTCAAAATAATTTTGAGTACACATACATAGTACAAATACTACATATGTATGTATGTTGTCAAGAATTTGTGTAAACTTGTTTTGAAGTCCCACATCAATATCAGTCTATTTCCACGATTTGACAGGCAACGTTGCAACGTTTCAAAACAGAAGCGCAAAATTGCATTTAATTGATTGGCAAAGCAGAATTTTAGTAGAAAACTGCCAAAGACGTCAAATGGTAATCAAGAGAAGCCGTAAGAAATTGTTTCCTGGGCAGAGGAGAATCCAGCGAACCAAAAACGGGACGAGTGGCAGAAAAAGGGCGCAGGAAGCTGAGAATACAATGCAATTTCACTATAAGTTGAGCGAACAATTGAAAGTTTCTTAATTGTAATCCGGCGCCATACATAATTTCGGAGGAGGGGTAATTTGAAAATGAGCAACGCAACGCTAACATGGGGGCAAGAAAAGGATGGCTTAATGCTCCATTGGCACATATTTTATAAGATTTGATATAATGGTTGCGACCGCACGCAGTTTTCTGGCAAAAGTACAAGGGCATAATGCAAATGTCAATCCAAATACTTGCAAACATTTGTTTGTATGAACATTCAAATATGTATATTAACGTAGGAAAGATGGAAAATGAAGTCACCTTCACCACGCGCTATGTTATCCGGAATTTCGCGGAATGCTTTTTGACAAGAGAAATAAGATAAGAGTAATAATAGAATTCAGTAAGCACAACATACTCGAAATGTCAAATACTGTCAAAACTTTCTGGACGCGTTAATTGAAAAATGTCTGAAAAGTAATCAACGACAACTTTTCTAATTTTCAAATGAAACAGAAGCAAACAGGTGAGATAGAGCTGAGTGAGAGAGTCATTGTGCTCGTCAAGCAGGTGGCTGGGAAGTCTTACGAGTATGGGGAATACTCGTTTGGAAGCGGATGTCAACGGCACTGCGAGGCGCGTTCAATCACATTTCTAATTACCAAGTTCCCTTAGGTAATTAACTTTGCATGCATTACACAAATTACACAAACAATGCGAGCGTCACACCGAAGCTTTATCAACTCAATTACGAGGAGAGAAACTCTCCCATCTCCTAGTCGAAGTGTGTCGCATAGATGCTTTTGCGAGATAGCCAACAAATAAGCTTTGTTTGTAATTTGGCGAAATGGTTGGGGCTGTTGCTGCTCCCACTCCATTCGTCTCCTCCTTCCGCTCGCACAGCCTAGTATATCAGAGCGCCACAATCGGGAAAAGAAATGGGAGGGCCTAAAGGCTACAGCTGGTTCAGAGATCTTTGGCTCAGTAAATACTCGCAATTTTCTGCCAGTTTTTAAATATTTTAGCATTCTGTATACCCTGAGATCGTAGACTAGGCGTAAATACATCTATCAGGCAGGCTCCGGTTTTCAATTTCACAAAAAAAAAATGTGATTTACTTTTTAAAATGAAAAGTCAGGCGCTCCTGCACTCGTAAAACGCAAGACTTTTCCGTTTTCAAAACGGCAACAATTCCTTGCCGAAATGAAAATTAAACGGCTTTTTATACATCTAAACAAATCTAATTGCAAAAGGAAAAAAAATAGATGACTTATTGATGCATAAACATGAATTTGAAACCATTACCTGGGCAATTGAGCTTGTGCCCTTTTTATAAATAATGTTTATTTAAACCAACCTCCTAATTATATCTGAAAAAATTAGTCAGTTCAAAAACAAAATATGAATTCATCTTAACAGCTGTGCCAGCCCGATTTGGCTATCGATAAATCTCTTTTAAACATAACCCCTAACCATACAGTATATGGCTCCGGCTTTCACATGACTTTTTCATTTCAAGGCGCTTTGGAATCCACAAAAGTGAATTTATTTACTCCCTGTACTGTTAAGCGCAAATTTGTCTGCTGTTATACCCACGCGTTAGTGCCAGCTCATACAAAAAGGCCCAATTCGGGCTGCCACAGATGAAATATGTTGCCGTTTTGAAAACGGAAGTCTTGCGTTTTAAGAATGCGCCTGACTTTTCGTTTTGAAAAGTAAATCACATTTTTGTTGTGAAAGTAAAAACTGGAGGCTGCCTGATTAATATGATTACCCGCGAACTTGTAGCTTTCTATGCGCCAAGGCCCGTTTGAATAATAAAATTATAATTCAATTATTAAGTACCCATTTTAGTTTGATAACACTACTCGACAAAAGATATTAAGCTTTCAAATTCAAATTTGATAATTTTTTTCCGGTATTTTTCCCCGAAATTTTGACTTTAAACACTCAGGAAACTCAGGAGACGTATTAATAAGGTTAAGGTATCGTTTGTAAGAATCGATGGACAAACGGCCAAGCTGCGACGACTTAAACCTCATTTTACCTGAAAAATATCGTCCGGTCCAACAGCCAAAATGGGATTGCAGGAAACAAGAAGGACCTGTAATTTTGGTTTTACCGAGTCCTAAGTATGGATATACCTTGGATATATACCCTACCTGTTAATGTCCATTTGGGCTGTAATTGTTGTGGACAGTTACTTTTATTCCTTATACCTAAGCCTTGGTGTGGATAGCTGATATGGTCAAATATTGACCTTTTTTCCTTCACAGTTTCTGCTCCTGCAGTCTAGCTATTCATAGAAAAGGATATATAACTCTGTACCTATAGTATCCCTGCCTCAGTGTAGTTCATACAGAATATGATCGTGTGTGTCCTAAAAATACTACTTGTTTCTAATTGAAAGCAATTGAAATGGATAACTCAAGCCGTTAATTTTCATGTGTTTACAAAGCAGGCCATTTTGCTACAAATGTGGAAAGTATAGGAAAGTAGAGTAGATTAAATATGACTAGCAAGGAAAAAAAATTCGTTGTTACCGAAAAGTTGCAAGAACGGTATGAAGACAACTTTAAAGTCAGGCCCAAAAGTATTGGCGAAGAGTGGGCTCCAAGCTGTATATGCAAAAGGTGTAAATTGAATTTTACAGCATTTAATAAAGACGAAAAGTAAGTTACCCTAAATCACAAGCTATTAAGTGTACAAAAATACTAAAAATAGCTGCATTTGTCAACTTTCCAGAACTGCAACGTTCTATGCAACCAAATATAAGATACGTAGGTTATGCGAAAAATAGAAGCACTACCTCTGAAAAAAAACAAGGCAAAAATAGCAGATTTTAAAAAATTCTTAAAAAAAAACTAAACCATAAAAAAAACATAATTCGTTACAAATTTTTATATCCCGAAATCTACCAGAAAGGGTTATTTTGGGACACAGATTTGTTTGTGTTTATTTAATGTATTTTAGGATAGGTTATAAGCGTGATACAATTGGTGCTTATATTAGTTCTCGTAAAAGTATTTCGGGTGGACAGCTTTATTTTAACTTCTCAACGACACGACACGAACGACTCTGCTCACAATGACGCTCGGCAAGGTTCTCGATTCATTGTTATCGACTGGTGATCAGAGGGTTGCCGTATAACTTGCACCACTTCTAGTGTGCCCCTTTTGTCATTGCCCGCCAGCTTCAAATCCCACATATATAGACACAAGATGCCCTTGTGCTCCATGAATACCAGGCATAAACATTATCCATACCCAGCAATAAAAGTCATACGAGTAATCATTAAACTCGCTACACGTTCATTCCCCAAGTGTTAAAACCACAACAGAGAACTTTCAGACCTCACTCCCGAAGAGGAGGCCACAGTTAAATAAGGACATATAGCATAACAGTGCTTTCCTTCTGCTTGGTGGCCTCCGAGTTACAATATGTATGCTGATTAACATGAAGGACGCGCTAGCTTGTCGCTTGTTTCCCCAGCTCCCTTGTGCCTTCTTTTCTACGATTTAATTAAAGTCTACATGTGCTAAGTAGGTTTTATTCTTGGGTTGCTTATTTGGCTTCGCTTTTTTTCTCTGCCTTGTATCTAACATTTGCTTTCCGCCTGCTGGGCATAATTGATTTAGGCATTTAATACATTAAAGTTCCTTATACTTATTTGCCATTTTTTTGTTTTTGTATGCTGCGCTACTGAGAGTACATTGGGAATGCGGTTGAATTTGTAAAAGTACGTAGAATGTTATTGATCTAGACTTTTTGTCGATTTTTAGGTCCGGTAACGAGTTTTGCACTGAATTTCCACATTGCTGAAAGATTTATTTATATTTACGAGTAAGTTTGCTTGTAGTACACTTTGCATATGAAAATACCAATATACTTGCTCAATCATGCGTTATGGCTTACAAATTTATGGCATCGCAGTAAAAACATTTCAAGCTAAACTACTGGGAAAAAATCAAGAGAAGTTACCTCTCATTGGAGATCTTCGCGCACACCCAAATGAGCTAGTCAAAAGACTTGCCCACAAACTAGGTTAGGTTAGTTTAAGGCGATAGTTGGAGAAAACCCCCCACCCCAACTCACTTGGTCCTTCTACAGGACCGTTGTGATGCCGCATGGGCGTGTACCCTTTCTCACCTAAACCGTGGTGAGCAATCTAATTGTTTGGAAAAAGTTTGGAGACGATGGAGATAGCCTCGTTTATTGCTTCGACCTCCACTTGGAACACACTACAGTGGTCCGGGAGCCTGAGACAATGACTGATGTTGAGCTCGTCAGAGTAGACCCCTCCACCCACACGGCCATCTAACTTTGAGCCATCAGTGTATATGTGGACCGCATTTGCAGTTTCGGGAGTCTCGTCAAGATTACCCAGTGTCCAAACGCGGATGCTTTCCAAAGTTTGGATTCTCTCATTTTGCGAGCGGAAAGTTTTGACACCTTTTTTTCCCATGAGTTCTACAGGGAGAAGGTACAACATGGTATCGAGGGCTTCGCCTAGGGTTGTGCGTAGTCCGCCCGTTATGCATAGCTCTTCCATGCGTTAGACACGGCTGAGTTTGCTAAGACAAGTTTTCTGGTCCACTGCTGGATCATATCAAGGATCAGGCCAAGATACTTGGCATTATTGCTAAAAACTAGCGCTTCTCTGCTGAGTTTTGGGGGAGTCAGTGTCGGAATCTTGTACTTCCAGGTGTTCCGTTTTAGACGGATCAACACCTAGCCCGCATTTGTCTGCCCACTGGGACAGTTTCATGTGAGGGCTTGTCATGCACTCGCATAGCGTGGAAATTTCCCAGAGAATGCTATGGCAACATCATCAGCGTACGCCACCACTTGGCATCCACTCCCCTCTATCTCCCGCAGCAGTTCATTAACTGCTACGTTCCATAGGAGGGGCGAGAGGATTCCACCCTGCGGTGTACCTCTGCTGACAAACCTAGTAGACGTTGACGTCACCAGTGAGGCCTCAACAGTCCTGCATTGAAGCATCTAATCGATAAGACTCACCGTCCGGGAATCAGTCCCCAGCTCCGTCAGTGCACCCGCTCGGGATGATGTTGTTGAAAGCGTATTCTATATCAAGGAAGCCTACCAATGTGTATTCCTTACAGTTAAGGGACGTTTCAATGATCGATGTAATCGCGTGTAGGGTTGTCTCGGTGGATCTTTCTTTCTAAGAGGAGAGGAGATTAGATTGGATTAGATTAGATTGTGCGGAATACTCGCTCTGAGATGCAGCCCCTAAAAGACGTTCAATCGTCTTCAAAAGAAAGGACTAAAGACTTATTTGTCTGAAATCTTTGGGGGCAGTGTGCGAGGGCTTACCTGCCTTGGGTAAAAAACGACTTTGTTCTGAAGCCATGTGTCTGGGATTTGTCCGTGAGAGAAAATACCCCCGTAAATCTGTTTGAGTTAATTTATGGCTCTTTGTCCAGCGTGGCTGGGCTGGGATGATGCCATCTGTTCCCGCAGACTTGTAGGGTTTTTAAGCTTTTAATTGCCCAGGATATGTTCTCCTGACTTACTGATCGGCTTTCTTCAGGTAACCCAAGGCTGGGGTTGACTTCGAGAGTACTTTGTACTTTCGATTTCACTGCAGAACTTGCGCCACGAGGCGCGTTTGGCTTTTCTAAGTTCCTTGTTATAGGTTGACCGACTGTCCTTGTAATCGGACCAGTTCTGCTCAACATTTAGAGCGTTGGCTCTGTTGAAGAGTCCCCGGGTGGATGCGGCCCAGGTGGTCTGAGTAGCGACTCCAGTTTGTCCGCCTGAGGTTTCGGAATTGGACTGGACTCGGTATGGAGAATGAGAAGACAGTTTCCACGTACCTGTGATCCGACAAGGAGTGTTCCTCAAGGACCCTCCAGGATACTATGTTCTTCTGTATCGTGTGACAGGCAAGTGTGAGGTCCAGGACCTCCTTGCGATTTTTTATAATTAAGGTGGGATCGTCCCCCCGATTTAATAATTTATTTAATAATCAAACCATCTGAGTGGTCAGTATGTAGCTGAAAAGGGATTAATCCCGTTCATTGGTGTCAGTGCTTCCTCACTGACTGTGGTGTGCGTTGGCGTCGCATCACACAATTAGGCCGATGTCCTTGGCCTCGCAGTCTGCGACGTTTACACATAAAAATCATCCGAGAAAACTCACTCAGCGTTGACGGATATACACTTGCATGCGCACATATTCGCAGATGATTTTAAATCACTCAAGCTCTGCCTTCTTTTATTCTGGCTAAGATTATTCATGCTCGTTCGTGTTTTGGGTGCATGTTTGTTCGGCTCAGCAATGATCGTATTGATTATTAGCAAAGACTTAAATGAGTAAACTCAGCTCGTATGATTTTGTTCAAGTGAAGAAGCGGTCGGCACACAGACATGCACATGTGTGCATGTAAACCCTTTCTCATACATGCTGGATATGATTGTATTGTATACGAAGCTGCGATTTGTGTAAGTGAGTAAGAATTGATTAAAACGAGGCGTTTGCCAGCACAAGCTGAGTTTATTCAACGCTGAATATTTCTGAGTGATTATATATGAGTACAGAAAGAAACACACTAAGCAAGAAAGTGATTCGAACGAAGCGTCTGACAGCGCAAGCTGAGTTTATTCAACGCTGAGTATTTTTGATCGATTGAATGTGAGTGAAAACTTTAGCTCATGAGTAAATCAAGAAAAATGTGATATTTGCAGTTCTCTGGTCGTGACCCAGCACAACCTCAGTGAGCTCGCTCTCCTGGCCTTCGAGGCTCACCGCTGTGCTGTGTGATCTTAATTGATGGAATTTGGGAGCAAAAATAAGTGTAACTCTCTTTTTGCAAAAATGCATGCAAAAAATGCAAAAATGATAGCGCATGCTGCCTTACAATGGTGGAGGTTTATCGGCAGGAGTGTCAGGCACATTCCTGAGACTCGCCTCCACCATTGTGTCGTCGACATAGGTCTCGGTGAACTCCGTGTCCTCTCCGACAACGATGCGTCCAAGACCCTTGGCTAGGTCGCTTGCATCCGACTCGTAGCGGTCAAAGATGTCGTCCGACATCTCCGACGCTACGTCCGTCCATAGTCCACTACTCTGTCTAACTTTTTCAGAAACTCTAGAGACTCCTCATTAAGGACGAGGATTATCTGGCGCCTCTGTCCAGTTACCTCATCCACCTTGGCCACCTTCCAATCAACTGTAGGAAGGTGGGGGTTGCAGACCCACAAACTAAGACCTAAAAGATTTTTGGCAATATATCCATCCGACCTACACAGAATATGGATATCCTAATCAAAACCTGAACCATATTATATAACTATACTTTACTAAAGATCTGTATATAAACACACTTATGTACATATTTACATATTATATAAGTTAAAAACAGAAAAGAATGGCAACAAAATAGAAAATTCAAACCAAAACGAGAGGGAACGACTCTACTTTTATACCCGTACTCAGTCAGTATATATATGGACATATGATTGATTTGGAATTTTCAGAGAACTAGGCGCTCATCAAGACGGACAAACAGACATCGACTCGGCTATTGATGCTGATCAAAAATATATGTTTATACTTTATGGGGTCGAAAATTGTTCCTTCTGTGCGTAACATACATCCACTTTGACCACAATATCCAATATACGTCTTAACTCTTCGAGTACGAGTAATAGTAAAAAACATTTTTAGCACTGCATTTGTATCTTAAAGTGATTCGTTTAAATACGAAGTTGAACAAATGTTGATAGCAGCCTCAATGGCACTCTCTGAATATCAAAAACATATATGGGTAGATATGGCCATACCCAATTATAGTTTATGCAGGCTTAGCGCCTGTTATTTCCAGTTACAAATGAGAATCAAATATAAATATACAACTACATACATATGGTTTTACGGGAATATGCATCAATTTTTACGGATGCGACTACTTACATGATGACTTAATGCCTTGCCGATTCTTGATGGCTTGAGGCAATTGCTGTGCGTCTAATGTCCATGTTTTTGAACTCGTACTTGCCATAATTGTGATGATTAGCATTAAGGTGCAGCCTTTACATATCCCGGGCATGGCCATGATCTTCGTCACTTGCTAGTTATACTTAGATTGATTATGTTCTGATTTTTTTACCTGACATGCGGCTCGCTGATTGGAGACATTTATCGTGATTTATGTATGGGCTTGCGTTAACACTCCCATGGTTTCAATTATTCCGAAAGGTAGAGACTGTAAAAGTAAGAGGGAACTAGATTAAATCAATACATTGCACAATGGGCCAGATTCCCTTTTTTTGGCATAAAGTCTAATATTATAGCTAGAGAGATGAAATTTGGTGGAATTTATCATAAAGTGAGACATACATAAGTGAGACAAATATCAAGTCAATCCACCGACGCCCACCTATAACGCCCATATAAGGACATATTGTCAAGGAGTAGATTTGTTATTATTATTTGATATTTTAATATAAACCAAATTGAATACTGATTACATGCTGATACTGATTATATACTATTACATAAATCGTATTTTTCTACTTTCAAATCCAAATCTTAAATGTCGCAATTTTAGATTACATTTAGGTAGATTTTGTATAATATAAAGGCGAAACCTTCTTATTTTCATGGTGATTTTGGCTTTAAAGCCAATTGATATTATTTAAATGTAACTCCCATGGTTTCAATTATGCCGAAAGGTAGAGACTGTAAAAGTAAGAGGGAACTAGATTAAATCAATACATTGCACAATGGGCCAGATTCCCTTTTTTTGTCATAAAGTCTAATATTATAGCTAGAGAGATGAAATTTGGTGGAATTTATCTTAAAGTGAGACATAAGTGAGACAAATATCAAGTCAATCCACCGACGCCCACCTATAACGCCCATATAAGGACATATTGTCAAGGAGTAGATTTGTTATTATTATTTGATATTTTAATATAAACCAAATTGAATACAGATTACATGCTGATACTGATTATATACTATTACATAAATCGTATTTTTCTACTTTCAAATCCAAATCTTAAATGTCGCAATTTTAGATTACATTTAGGTAGATTTTGTATAATATAAAGGCGAAACCTTCTTATTTTCATGGTGATTTTGGCTTTAAAGCCAATTGATATTATTTAAATGTAACACTACTCTACACGAGTTTTCCTCAAAGAACAAACCCAACTTTTTCTTAAAGATTTGGGGCTTAGAAATGCGTTCGGCTAAGCGCCGGACCATGGCAGCACAAAGAGCAGTTGACCATACTATGTAACATCTCTTAATGTAACGTCTCTCTTTATCACCGTTTTGTTTGCCTTTGCTTATGCTCTATCTGGTGCTTTGCTCTCTGGCGGCGTTCGTCAGCCACTGTGGGGGAGGCTCGTCAAAGCAGAAGACACTTCAAGATCGATCATCACCGTAGTTAAACGTTGTGCTGTCGGGCACAGTGACCTGCCTGCTGCATAGTTCTAAATTAAACCTAACATAAATATTTCAACAGTCTTGAACCGGCCCAGCGTCTTCAATCGACCCATCGTTAACTCTCGTTATCAAATCCGCACACCGGGATAATACACATATGTATATTAACTTAAGTACAATAAACTGTGAATATATTAACTGAACACTCATCGTCTCTTAAATAAATCTCGCAAAAACAAAGCTACTGAAAAAGCTCAGTAGCTCATCAAAATGGTTTGATGATATTTTTTTTTATACACTTTTTTACTCAAAAACAAGAGAGGGTTGTACATTTGGATTTGGTAAAAGTGGATGTGTGCAACGCAGAGAAGGAAACGTTTCCGACCCCTAATTAAGTATATATACACTTGATCAGCATCAATAGCCGAGTCTATATAGCCATGTCCGTCTGTCCGTCCGTCTGTCCGTCTGTCCTCGTGCGCCTGATCCAAGACTAAGAGCTAGAGAAACCAAATTTGGTTTCCAGACTCATGTAATATCACACTGCTACAAGTGTATTTCAAAATTTCGCCCCGCCCCCTTCCGCCCACACAAAGGACGAAAATCTGTGGCAGGCACAGTTTTAAAGATACGATTACTAAAAACGCCCCGTATCGTAGAAAATGCCCATATCTACCAGAGTGCCGAATCTGAATCAGATCGGATCATAATTATAGCCAGAATGAAGAAATTAATTTTCAGTTGCTTCCCTCCCCCTCCCGCCCACGACAACGCATCTCATTTTCCTTCTCGCTCGCACATTCTGCCGCGTTCAGTGCGCGAGCAACCCCTAGCGGAGGAGATGTAGAATCTAATTGGAACATGTAAAATCTACATGTTAGATGTAGAATATACATTGTATATGTAGATGTAGATATCATATGTAGCAAAAAAAATGTAAAATGTAAAATTTTTTTTTTTCTAAAATTCTTAAAAATCATAAGCTCAAAAATGTATATACTGACTGAGTACGGGTATAAGTAGAGTCGCGTCCCCAGAAGCGACTCACACGTTCCTTCTCGTTTTTTTATAAGGCAGAACTTTTTTTGAAAAATTTGACAAAAATGGCAAATGAGAACAAAGCAAACGAAAACGGGTTGTACATTTGGTACCTGATCGCTTTCCTTTGTTCCCAATTGGCAGCTGGGCCCGCAACCTTCCAAAAGGTATTTTTTGTTAATTTTTTTTTTTTAGGTTTGGTTAATGAATTTTAGCTCCAAAGTTTCTCCATAGATTTATATGAGCAATACCTTAAACGACACCTAATTAATGCATTTATACACAAAAAAATAGAGGTCACAGGATATAATTTTTGTTGACTTTTCCTGAGTTTGTAAAGTCAAAATGTCGTAAAAAATACCGCGCAAAAATCACCAGACGTAAGATACTAGAGTTATGTGAAAAGAGAAGCTCTACCTCTAAAAAAGCGTAAAAAAAATACCAGACTTCAAAAATTCTTTAAAAAAAAGTTCTGCCATCGAAAAAAAACCATAATTCTTTAAAAAAAATTTTAAGTCCCATATCTATCAGAAAAAGTCGGTTTAGATCCTTGAGATCCTCGCCAATAACCCAGTCAAATAACGCTTTTTATACCCGTACTCAAAAAATATATATACTCTTGATCAGCATCAATAGCCGAGTCGATATACCCAAGTCCGTCTGTCCGTTCGTCTGTCCGTCCCGATGAGCGCCTAGATCTCAGAGACTATAAGAGCTAGAGCAACCAAATTTTGTTTCCAGTTCGCCCCGTCCCCTTCCGCCTCCACAACGAACGAAAATCTGTGGCAGGCACAATCGAAGTATCGTAGAGAATCAGATCGGATCATAATAAGAACCAGAATGAAGAAATTAATTTTGAGTTGCTTCCCTCGCCTCCTCCAGCAAGAGACCTACAACTCATTCTCTTTCTCGCTAGCACACTCTGCCTCGTTATGTACGCGAGCGCCGTTTAGCGGAGATGATGTAGAATATAAATGGTACATTTAGAATATACATGTTATATGTAAAATTTACATTGTAGATGTAGATACCAGATGTAGCAAAAAAATGTTAGATGTACAATTTTTTTAGATTCTAAAAATCATAAGCTTAAAAATGTATATACTGGCTGAGTACTGGTATAAGTAGAGTCGCGTCCCCAGAAGCGACTCACGCGTTCCTTCTCGTTTTTTTTAAATTTGCATATCTGGTGTTTCTACAACAGAAGCGCAAAGTTTTGTAAAAGCTTCCGCGCAAATTGAGACAGACAAACAGCTGAGAAAACATCTGACTTTGTTAGCGCTGCACCGTTACCACTAAAATTTTTTGTTAATGATTAGATGTAACCAATGTGCTTATTTTAAAAATATTAAGTTAAACTCAAAATAGATTTAACAAAAATGTACGACTTTATGAAAGAAAAATCCGGGGGTCTGGCCCATGGTGAATTGTTGCTCTTATTTTCAAGCTGTTATTGTTAATATCTAAGTGTTAAAAAAAACCAGCGTCACTCTTGTTCGTGTCCATGTTCTCAAGCCCTCGATCCTCAACTACTTGATATATGATTAGACTTTACGGAAGATGTAGGCTCAGCGAAATACACACCGTCGAACTAAAGAATACTTAAAACGAGAAGGAACGTGTTATTCGCTTCTGGGGACGCGAAAAAAGGATCTCATCTTATATTTTAGTTATTTTTTCTTGAAGAATATTATATTTTTGATTTTGTTGTAATAAATTTGTTTTTTGATTTAACTTTCGACCTCAGTCTAATACTTATATTTTATATATAAGTATATATATATATATATATATATATACTCATAAAAACATTGTAAATAAATACTATTAAAACTATAAAAATATATAGCTCGATAATATCGATTTTATAGATATTCAAGGCGATATGGCGATATTCATTACGATATCATATCTTCGATATGATATTCTATGTGATATTTTGATTTATGTCAATATCGATATTTGCTTGACGATACCCATCCCTAACATTTACCACACAAAATCCACACAAAAGCTAGAACGGCCTGTTAGTGTGAGAAATGATATAGATGACAGATGTAGCGAGAATATGTAAACTAATAAAACTACTCGAAAAAATTGAACTTTTTATTTAGGCTGTGAACCAAAATGACTTTTTCTGATAGATTTCAGGATTTAAAAATTTGTTGTAGTACTTTATTATTTTTTTATGGTCATTTTTTTTTAAAGAATTTTTAAAATCTGGTATTTTTTTTCTTGGTTTTTTTTAGAGGTAGTGCTTCTATTTTTCACATAACTTTAGTATCATATATCTGGTTGCATAGAACTTTGCAGTTCTGAAAAACTGACAAACGCAGCTATAAATCCGATCCAGACCTCTTATATCTGCAGCTTAATGCCCGAAAGATATTAAGCTTTCAAAGATTTCATTTTTTGCACTATTTTTTTTCGAAATTTTGACTTTAAGAACTCGGGAAAAGTCGAAATAATAATTATTGGCCAACATTTATGGTTTTAGATAGACGCATTAATTGGGCGTCGTTTAAGGTATTGCTCATTAGAATCTATGGGTAAACGGTCAATTTGCAGCCGTTTGACCAAAACCACTCAAAAATAATTTTACATGAAATTAGTTCATTTTTCACATAACTTAAGTATCTTGAATCTGGTTGCACAGAACTTTGCAGTTCTGAAAAGGTGCCCAATGCAACTATAAATCATACCCAGAACTTTTTATATCTGCAGCTGAACGCCTGGAAGATATTAAGCTTTCAAATTTAAATTTCATCATTTTTTTGCGGTATTTTTCCAAAAATTTTGACTTTAAAAACTCAGGAAAAGTCGAAAGAAAAACATTTCTTGGCATGCATTTTAAGTTTTAGATAGACGCATTAATTAGGCGTCGTTTAAGGTATTGCTCGGTAAAATCTATGGATAAACGGTGTAGCTAAAATTCGTTAACGAAACCTCAAAAGTGAAAAAACAGACAAAAAATACTTTTTGGAAGGTTGCGGGCCCAATTGCTGCCAATTGGAAACAAAGCAAACGAAAAGGGGTTGAATTTTTGGTAAAAAGTATTAATTTTTTTCGACTTTTCCCGAGTTTTTAAAATCAAAATTTCGAAAAAAATACCGAAAAAAATTATGAAATTTTAGTTTGAAAGCTTAATATCTTCCAGGCGGTAAGCTGCAGATACAAAGTGTCTGGGTACGATTTATAGCTGCATTTGTCAGCTTTTCGGAACTGCAAAGTTCTATACAAGCAGATATAAGATACTTAAGTTATGTGAAAAAAAGAAGCACTACCTCTGAACAAAAAACAAACAAAAAATAACAGATTTTAAAAAATTCTTAAAAAAAAACAACACCATAAAAAAAAAACAATAATTCGTTAAAATTTTGTAAACTCCCGAAATCTATAAGAATCTAAATTTTGGGCCACAGCCTAATTCTTGTGTTGACTAGTGTAATTAATGCTGACTGAGTACGGGTATAAATATAGAGTAGCGGCAACAGAAGCGACTCACAACGTTCCCTCTCGTTTCTTCATGACTTCAAGTTAATTACACATCTCCCGTGTAACCATTAATCACCTGGACAATGGCCAAAAAGGTTCGAAACTACTAATAAGGAGAAAGCTGACTGCGACACAGTTCAAGTACACTTTGTATGGAGAGAGCTAAAAACTCTGATAGACTTGTCCTACCACCACATGGATGAGGAATGTGGTTTAGCTTTTCTAGCTTTGGCTAGGTTTAGCTTTTCAATATTTATGAGTATACTAGGGGGCAGCCCCCTGCTCACTCACTTCACTCGGTCGCCAACCCCCAAGTATTCTAAAGTTATTTATTTTTCTTTATTAAAATTTTTTTAATTTGTATCATTTTATTTATATCCATTAAAAACATAATCACATATATGATACTCCAAACTATTTTCATTCATTATCATATCATAATATTCGGCCCAAAGTATTTGATTTGAATGGTCTGGGGTACGCATCAATGGGTGCTCCTTGCTTGCAAGACATCCATTTTTTTTTTTGATTCCATGTAAAATGGCGTGAAACTTCGGAATAGATTAATGTTCGTGCAAAGGAACCGAATGTATCTTCACGATAACACAAATCAAAAAATTCCTTAAGTGTAGTTTTAAGAGGATTCATGGCACGCTCAACTGTTGTCGCATTGGTGAAAATACACGCTGTCCATTTTCAAGATGGATGGGATAATGTATTACTGCTGGTTCCCGTTCATGAATTTGGACACCAAAGATACGTCAGATAGCTTCATCTGAGCTTATATACCGGCCAATTTGGTGCGTTTCATTTAATCGGAAGCATCACAATTATGTTGTTAACCGCCATATCGCGCGGGCGGGGCGGGGGGGGGGGCCCGCCAGGCGCGCAAACCATGATTCCAGCAAAGTCGTCAGCCACAGAGGTATTGAATCTACGTACGTGCACACCATCAGGTGTTTTATCAGGATTGATGACAATAGCGTGATTGTCACTTTCCAATTTGTGCATGTGTGATTTTAATAATTTCAATAACTTATTGTGCTGATTAAGTAATTCCTCCCGCTCTCCAACTATGCGCCTGGATATTGCCGAATTGTGGTTATGGTAACCGCAACGTGCATCAACGCGATTGGAGAGTGCGCGATTTTGGTCCTCACCATCAATTAAGTACATTCATGAAACATATCGACGCATTTTCGCAAAATTATCGTATGTCACTTTATATCGAAATTGTTCGAAACCTTATGTCTCACAATCCTGCAAAATAGTATGACTAAAACCTACATATATAGTTCCGATGAAAATTAAGTTTCAATTTTATCGTATGTAACTATGCATTTTTCTGTTCGCAATAAATTTTTTGTATGTAGTACGAATTACATCAAACGCACAAAAATAAATAGAGATAACAATCTCTTCATTCCATTAGGTGTCGGCGTCCAAAACCAGTTTGAAGAAAATTCTGACCACCTAGTTTTCTTAAAACTTTATTTTTTTGCATTGCTAAATTCGAATTATATTTTTCAGCTAATGGTTTTAAATTTAAGGGGGAAAAAACTTAAGTTTAAATCATTTAAATTGTAAGTAAATGTGTAATTGATTTTGTGTGAACGTTAATCTCTAAATGAAAAATATTTCTTTTCATAGAACTGGGCCTTCAGGTTGGAAATTCTATGCGATGACTGGGCCAATCCAAATTAATTGCACACGAATTGTCTAGAAAGGGCCACATTCTTGTCCTTCCCAATGACTTGAAAAGATTTGACACCCAAAAAACGTGGTACAGTTGCCAACTGCAGGATTGGTGAATTTGATGATAATGGGATGTCTTCCTTAATCAAATAAAAAAGCATTATAAAAATCCTTGCTCACAAGATGCTTATAGCGAAAGCATTTTTTTTACATGTACAAAAAAAAAACCAAAGTGGAGTCAGAAGTGGACAATGGGTCTGATGTCATTCTAAGCATCCTGCGTTATACTATTTCTTCTTGTATTTGCCTTCTTCTAAGGTGATATCTGGCTGGTAAACGGGCAATTGGAATTTCTCTTTAAAATCTGTTCAACTTATAATGCAAACAATTGACGTTTTCTAAGTACAGACAACCGCAAAAAAAAGCTTGTCAAGTCTGTCATTAAACACTAAAATTGGGTAACTTTTTACAAAATTGTATTACTCAGATCCCCAATGAAAAACAAAAAATTTTATTTATTTAATTTTCAAATCTCTAAAGATCCCGATCATGATATTTCGGATGACTTGACAAATCTCTCGAGTCAAAATCTCTAAAGACTTCTGTGGCGCCCTTGTAAGTGTTTTTTCGATTTGGTAATTGCTTTCTCTTTGAGTCGAGAGAGCTCAAACAGATTATCAAATTCTTTATATTTTTATGGAATTATTTCGTTCAATAAAAATTTATTTTTTTTATTATCGTATGTACACTTGTCTAAGCCCATAAAAACATAGTGCTCGAAAGTATCGTATGTTTATAGATCCTAGCTTTTTTAGAACAAGGCGACATTATTGGCAATAATTAAGTTGACATTCGTTTTTGTATCTGAAACAATACAACCTTTGAGAGTCTTACCGTTATTTTCCCATTAAAAGCAGAGTAAAGTAATCTAAATAAACCTTCTCCTGTAAAAATCGCGAAATATATGCGTCGATATATAATGTCACAAAACACACTGACAGTTAAATACGACAAAAATTTCATGAAAATCGGTCGAGCCTATGGGGAGGAGTTCAACCACAAACAGCATGACAATAAATACAATAATTATGGTAATAATTTATTTTACTATCCCCAAGCGCAAAAATTAAACGGAACCAAAGTATAAACAAATGAAGTTTCGATTAGCATTGAATCTCGTTGAATTTTTTCGATGAATTTTCTTACATCCTATACATACATATGTATGTGTAGTACATATGTAGCTTAAGATAGGAACGAAAATTACAGCATTAACTTAAGTTATTAGCTTAATTAATTTACAACTCACATTGCCTTTTACTTTTTGGAAGAAGATTTGTATGCTGCTGATGTTATAATAGTTTTAAGCATATGAATATATTTTGGATTTGTTTTATGCAACGCTAATAGTGCTATATGGCATTATCTAACACAATCACACGATCAAAGCGGCTTTAAATTGGAAATTTATTCTTTTTAAACACATCACCAGACTCAGACACTCTTTTCGTTAGACAAAAACACAAATCGAAAATGCATTGAATACGTACATTTAATGGCTTTCGACATTTTCTTTGCATTTCAGGCAAAGCGGACAAACGAAAACTACGAAAAATCCTGTAAATGTAAATTTCACAAGCAGCGATGCCCCGAAAACGTGCGCCGTGAGCTGTGTGATATATAAACGGACTTTTCTAAGCTGAGAAGAAAATTTCTGTTGTTTCCTTTTCCGCGGCCGAAACATGTTTGTTTCACTCGGCAAACGAGTCCAGAGCTTTTCCGTACTGTCTTTCCTGAACCAAGCCACGAAGGCTCAGACTCACACGAGCACAGCAAAGCCGAAGTTGTGGGTGTACTTTTGCAAAAGAATTTTTCGCCGAACTCCGAAAGTTCGTGAAAGCCTCGCTGAATAAGGAGCAAGAAAGCTGTTGATGGTTGAGGGTGTAAATTAAAATAAGCTTTTCTGTTGTTAAGGAAACACATATTCTGGTAACAAATAGCACCAGCTGTTACCTGCTTGCTTTTATCCTACTTGATCCTGAGATGTTAAGTGTTTGAAAACGACGAAACACCCCAAATGCATATACCAAATAAGTTCGTTCCGCAGGATTGGGCTCTCATGGTAGTCTGAACAGAGGAGCTTTTATAAGTGTAGGTGGTTTGGAAAAGGTGGACGAGAAGATCAAAAATTGCTGGATCCCTATTTACCGACGTATTCCGACGTATCAAGAAACATACTCAAAAGCTATCTGCGTAAGACACTGGCATTCCTTAAAGTAAAAATTAGTTTTTTGATTCATAAAGCCACCTACACTGACGAGCAAAACTGTAACACTAATTCTGTACTCTCACTTCAACGGTCCGTAGCTTATCTTCTTTTTTATGCATGCTAAAGATCTTAGTCTTGTTTTGTTGGTGAATCATTTAGCTAGGTTTTTTTAAAATTTGAAGCCATTTGATACGCCGGAAGAAATTTGCCAAACATAAATGTAAAACGAGAAGGAACGTGTAAGTCGCTTCTGGGGACTCGACTCTACTTATACCCATCATCAGTCAGTATATACATTTTTGAGCAAATGATTTTTTAGAATTTTAGAATTACTAATTGCTACATCTGTTATCTACATCTACATATATTATGTATATTATACATCTAACATGTAGATTGTACATGTACCATTTAGATTCTACATCTCCTCCGCTAGGGGTTGCTCGCGCACTGAACGCGGCAGAGTGTGCGAGCGAGATGGAAAATTAGTTTCATGGTCGTCGGCAGGAGGGGGCAGGGGAAGCAACTGAAAATTAATTTCTTCATTCTGGCTATAATTATGATCCGATCTGATTCAGATTCGGCAATCTGGTAGATATGGTCATTCTCTACGATACTGCGTATCTTTATCGTATCTTTAAAAATGTGCCTGCCACAGATTTTCGTCCTTTGTGTGGGCGGAAGGGGGCCGGGCGAAATTTTGAAATACACTTGTAGCAGTGGGATATCACATGAGTCTGGAAACCAAATTTGGTTGCCCTAGCTCTTATAGTCTCTGAGATCTAGGCGCTCATCCAGACAGACAGACAGACAGACAGACAGACAGACGGACAGACAGACAGACGGACAGACAGACATGGCTATATCGACTCGGCTATTGATGCTGATCAAGAATATATATACTTTATGGGGTCGGAAACGTTTCCTTCTCTGCGTTACACACATCCACTTTTACCACAAATCTAATATACCCCTTAACTCTTTTTTGAGTACGGGTATAAAAAGTCAAGTGTTACAGTTTTGCACTGCGGCTATATTTTAAAGAAAAATATTTTTATTAATAATTTTTTAATAAGGTGTCCACAGCCCTTTTAATTTTTTTAGTTCTCCTATGCGATTTGGCATTTTTTGGGTGCAGCGTTGCACCATTGCAGGTTGAATAGCGTACCATACATCCTTTTTCTCTCCCATAACTCCATCATTGCACTTAAAGAGACCGCATATTTCAGCAGCTGCGATTTTAGATGGTTCCATACATTTTAAAATAAGATTTATATCGGGAGATTATGGTGATTATAAAAACACCCCCAAACCATAATTGAACCGCCACCGTGCTTGACGCTGACTTTAAGTTGGTTTTGGTGACTGGTGACTGGATTGTGGGATAAGTTTATATGGTTCAGATAAAACAAAAATTAATCTTTTTGAGTCAGACACTCCTGGTATTGGACTAGAGATCCCAATATCCAGTCCCCAAGTACTGTGCGGCAAACCGTTAAGCACGGTTGTGGCTCAATCATGGTTTGGGGCTGAATACATAAAAATAGAGTTGGTCCTTTGATTTTAATTGATGGCATAATGCAAAAAGAGCAGTATTTAAACTTTCTGCAACAGAATCTGCCAGATGCGATCGGGAACATGGGTCTTGCTGCCGAAAAATGTATTTTTCAGCAAGACAATGACCCAAAGCACACGTCTATTTTGGTAAAAAATTGGATATTGAAGCAAAAATTTCAATGTATGAAGTGGCCACCACAATCTCCAGACATGAACCCAATTGAAAATTTATGGAGCCATATCAAATCGCAGCTGGCGAAATATGCGATCCCTCCAACTGGAATGAGGGAGCTGTGGGAGAGGACAAAGGACGTTTGGTACTCTAAACCCCCTGAATTTGTGCAACGATACACCCAAAGTATGCCAAATCGCATTAAGGAACTCGAAAAATCAAAAGGGATGTGGACACATTGCTAAAAAAAATTTCAATAAAAATATTCATTTAAAATATAGATGCAGTGCAAAACTGTAACATTTGACTTTTTTTACATTTTGGCTTGGCATAATTCTCCCGGCATATCAAATGGCAAGAAATTTTCAGAAAACATAGTAGACTTAATCACCAACAAAACAACATAAAAGAGAACAGAAGATACAGACCGTTGAAGTGAGACTACTGACATCGTGTTACAGTTTTGCTCGTCAGTGTATGTATGGATCAGCTATTTAAGTCCACTCCGCAAATTCCGTAATCTCGTGTCGTTTTTAACCGCGCAGAGAAAAGTTAAGTGAGCGAGTAGTATTAATAGTAATATTAAGTTGATATTGATTGACTGCACTTTTCACTAGACAAAAATTAAGTTGTAGGCCTTGATGAGTAGATCACCTCCTCATACTTAGAGTTTTCAATATCTTGTTTACTCTACATTTGCATCGACTAAATGTATGAATGTATAAAATTCAAGTGCTAAAAAATTAAAATAATTCTCAACCTATGATGAGCTGACGCTCAAGGACCGCGTGACCGTTAGAGTGTGTGTGAGCGAGAGATTGAATGATTACACTAGTCAACACGATTTTTCCTCAAGGAACAAAACGAACTTTTTCTTAAAGATTTGGGGCTTAGAAATGGTTTGATGATATTTTTTTTTTCTATGGCAGAACTTTTTTTTGAAGAATTTTTGAAAATTGGTATTTTTTTTTAAGCTTTTTTCAGAGGTAGCGCTTGTTTTTTTCACATAACTTTTGTTTGCGTTAAAGGTATTTTTTTTTCATTTTTCGTTGTCATAAAAAATACCGCAAAAATCATATTTTTGCATTTCAATGTTTTTTTCCCAGACGGTAAGCTGTAATCACAAAGTGTTTGGGCTTAACTTCTAGCTGTTTTAATTATCTTTTCAAAATAGCAAAGTTCTTTACAACCAGACGTAAGATACTAGAGTTATGTGAAAAAAACAAGCGCTACCTCTGAAAAAAGCTTTAAAAAAAAATACCAGTTTTCAAAAATTCTTTAAAAAAAAGTTCTGCCATAAAAAAAAAACCATAATTCTTTAAAAAATTTTAAATCTCCATATCTATCAGAAAAAGTCGGTTTGGATCCTTGAGGAAAAAAAAAGTTCGATTTAGTCGAGTAGTGTTAGTGATGCAACACTGGAGGGGGTGGGGTTAGCAACAGAAAATTTGTTCATTGTTTCTATAATAATAGTCCGATCTGATTAAGATTCGGCAATCTAGTAGATTGGTCATTCTCTGCGATACTGCGTTTTCAGTTTTATCGTATCTTCAAAAAAGCCTGCCACAGATTTTCGTCCTTTGTGTGGGCGGAAGGGGGCGGGCCGAAATTTTGAAATACACTTGTAGCAGTGTGATATCACATGAGTCTGGAAACCAAATTTGGTTGCCCTAGCTCTTATAGTCTCTAAGATCCAGGCGTCAAACAAGACGGACAGACGGTCAGACGGACAGACTCTATCGACTCGGCTATTGATGCTGATCAAGAATATACATATATACTTTATGGGGTCGGAAACGTTTACCACAAATCATATATACCCCTTAACTCTTTTTGAGTACGGGTATAAAAAGTTCTGCCATAGAAAAAAAACAATAATTCTTTAATCAAATTAAAAGCTCCCAATCTATCAGAAAAAGTCGGTGTGCTTCGAAGCGGATAAAAGTTTAATTTTGTCGAGTAGTGTAATCAGTGGTCAAGTTTGTATTCAAGGTGCCATAATATGTATAGTTATAGTTATGGATTTTAAAAACCAGCGCCCAGATCATTGTCAGTATTGTGGGTAGGGAGCAAAGGTCAAACTAAAACTAAGTGGAAGCTTGCGAGTTTGGAACGCACACGCCTCACACTTGGATATATCATCGGCCATTACCATTAACAATATTTTTCTTACTTATTTCATGGCCATTATTTTTGGCAACCGCACAAAAACGAAAAAAACTATTTACTCATTATTGTCAGATTCAGATATGGCCATTGATTGCTATTTTCGCCTCGGTTTGTTTGAGTGCCAATAGGTATACTTTAATTAATTAATTAATTAATTTAGGCATACTCGTATATAAATCTCTGTCCAATGTTTTCACTTTGAAAGACCCTCAAGAGCAGTCGTTGTTCCCACATCGCAGATCAGATAATGTTCATTTCTTGCCCAAACACGTCGAAACTTACACCAGTTCCTCACACAATAATAATTCGTATTATTCCCTGAATAATGATTAGTAGCCCTTTGGAATTATAATCTACATATGCAATAGGGGTAGCTTATTATTGTTAGCATAGAGGATCAACATGAGGTCTATGATCATGTACAGCATTTTGTCTCTTCGTCAATCGGTGGCAAGGATCTGTAAACCCTCGTGCAATATAGTTGTGCAATATTTCCATTAGTTAGGCCCAAGCTTGGAATGAAATGAAAATAAATTCCTTTTTAGCATTTGTTTGCCATTTTGTACTAATAAATACTTAAAATGTGTCAAAAAATCCCTTTTTTTCATTTTTCCACTGCATTCAAAAACTGCTTGAATTTTCTTACTGATTCTATGTTTTTTTCCACCGCAATACTATGAGAGGGCGCCACCCATGGTTTTTCTGAAAATAATACTGGGAATATTATCGAACTTTCGATTATGTATATCGAATATTTGAATATTTCTGACAAAAGCTGGCCGGCATGAGACTGACTGTATCGGATTTTCCAATTTCGGGTTCTATTTGCTGCCGTTTGGCGTCATCACCATTCTTGGTCACTTTCATGTATCGATGAAAAAATTTGATTTGTGGCGGTTCCACCCAATCGCTATCTGAAACGAAGCATCGTCAGAAGCAGGTGATGGTTCCGAGAGTTATTAAGGACTCGTAGTACTGTTCATGGTTCCAAATTAAATAGGCTAGCAAATGTAATAAAAATTAAATACAGATTTTATATTAATTTGTTAAAAACATACAACTTCAAACTTGCTGATTCGTTTTGCTTTATACAAGTAATATCGCACAAAACACACGTAAGTTTGATATAATAAATCTAACAATACACATGAGCAACACATAGGACAATTTAATAGCATAACTATCAAAAAACATGTATTAACATTTAATTGATTTGCTTTTTCCATATTTACATTTTCAGCTAATATTTGGGATGGAGTTAACTTTTAAGCTGTTTTTAATGGGTTTTAAAATGGAAAGAGCTCATTTGAAAGAGTATCTGCTGCAGGGGGCGAGACAGAGTTAGATAGGGAGAGACAGCAGACTAGAATGTGGATGGCGACCCACCACCAAGCGGAGGTGATCCTTAATGCTCCCAGAGCTATTCTTACGGCACAGTTTAGAATGGTTTCATTTTTTTTAAGACAAACTCTTGAAATTTTTCCGTAAAATACTAGTTGGTAGTCAATTTTAGAGACTTTTGTAATTGATATTAACACATCATTACTTTGCAAATTCGAATTACTTAAGCAAAAAAAAAAGTAAGTTCGATGGATCGCGATATATCAAGAGTTTACGTGCTGTTGACGCACCACGATTTATCAACAACTTACGTGCGGAACTATTATAAATCAAAAGTCTTTGCTGTAGTACTGATTACTTCTAATAACGTTACACATTATCAAAGGCATACATTTTGTGATAATCAGGCAGGCTCCAGTTTTCACACTCACTTTGCGTTTTACTTTTCAGCAAAAAGTTATACTTTTTATTTCAAGGCGCTCTGGAATCCACAAAAGTCTATTTATTTACTCCCTGTACCGTTAAGCGTAAAATTTACTGCTGTTATACCCACGCGCTAGTGCCAGCTCATACAAAAAAGGCTCTGTTATGTTTAACACAGATTTATCGATAGCCAAATCGGGCTGTTTGGAGGAATAAACTGTTTGTTGTTGCCCTGACCAAGTTTTTCAGATCCACTTTTGAGGTTGGTTTAAATAAAAATTATTTATAAAAAAGGCACAAGCTCAATTGCACTGGTAATGCCGTCAAATTCATGTTAATGCATCATTAAGTCATCTATTTATTTTTTTTGCAATTAGGATTTGTTTAGTTGCATAAAAAGCCGTTTACTTTTTATTTCGGCGAGGAATTTTTTGCCGTTTTGAAAAAGTCTTGCGTTTTACGAGTTCGGGATCGCCTGACTTTTCATAGATAAAATTTTTTTTTTTGAAAGTGAAAACCGGAGCCTGCCTGAATGTTGGGCCTTTTGGACGACGAACATTCCTTTTGGCATAATTTCCAAATAAATTTATCTTGGTTTCGTCACTCCAGAGGATATTATCCCATTTTTTCTCACCCTCCGGTACGCACCAGGTTCTACGATCTAGTGCAAATTGTTTCCTCATCTTTAAATTTGCCGACCGAAGCAAAGAAACCCTGCGAGCAATCCGACCTGGTAGGTTTGCTATTGCCAATAGTCGCCGGACGGTCCGTGATGACACAATATTCCCAATTTCGTTGGAAATCGTCCTGGAAGACTTGAACGGGTCGCATTTAACCAACTGAACCGGAGTTAGATGATGATTTCATCTATTTTTTCCGGTTTTAAGCCATTGGTTACGAAATTTTGAGATCGTTTCATTAACCTGGCAATGGATTTATAAGTTTTTCCTTCATCTAGGAGTCGTCGAATGAGCCTTCTCTCCTCCGCACTGCAGTGACGCCCACGGCCCATCTAATACAATTGTATGGTTGTTAAGTCACTATTTAGTTATATTTTCCTAATTCCTTAACTTCTGCAACCAAATAAATATTTTAATAAACTACAAATTATTGTTTTTCTTCACACACCTATTTTATTGACCAGCCGAATTTGCAGCCTAAGCAATAAAATAATACACAATTCTTCCCAGAAAGCTAATTAATTCCAATTCGCACCGAAACAGTGTGACCATATTAAAAAAGTATAGTTTCCTAATAAAATGTTATGTTTATATCGACTTAAGCCGATATCTTTAAAAAAAACGTTACAACTATTATATTGTCCATAAGAGTATATTAGGCTGGGCCAAAAAACCTTTTTTTCCAAATTAAAACGGGACACCACCTAGTTTTGTTACCTTGGATTTAATAGTAATTTACATTATTTTATTTGTTTTTTTTTTAATTTTTTAGAGGTGGCTACCGAATTTCACAAAAAATTTTATTCAAGAAAATTAAAAAAAATTTTTTGCTGAATGGCTTGGATAATTGGTGAAATCTATTGCATATATATTGATAACATTCATATCGTCATTAATCAGTTATTGGCAGTAAAAAACCTGCACAAGTTTTTGCGAACTAGTTAACTAAATATATCAACCTCAGCTGAACTTCTTGATTTTCACCAATCGTTCATTTTTTAACAGTAACTAAAAATAAATAAAAATACCTATTATCAATATGAACTAGTTTCTAGAGTTCAATATTATTTGAAATAACCGACGAATTACATTTTTTTTAATGTATGTATATTTACATAAAAATTTTTATTTTCTTTTCGTGGTAGCAACTCCCAAACATTAAACTAAAAATTTGAAAAAAATTTTATAATTTTATTGAATAACAAAGAACAGAATTGGAGGGTGTCCACTTGAAAAAACAGAAAAAAATTGTTTGGTCAAATTTTGGCCCAGCCTAATATACATACATATGTATATATTTCAAGAAATTTGTATGGAAATCCTTTTCGGATAACATTTCATGCATTTTTTTTATTAAAGCAACAGTGGAATGGACGTCGCTATTTTTAATTTTATCTGGCTCTATTTTAAGCAAAGCAGCTACAAACTAGAGTTACATGAATGAGATTCAAATCTGACTTCAAGTATCGAATCGAATATCTAAATTAAATTTTAAAAAACGAAACATTAAAAACGGGCAATCTTCAGGTATCTGACTACCAGAGCAAGCATATATGTATGTATCTACGTATCTTTTATAGCAAGATATGTAAACATATGTATGTACGTATGTGAATACTTTAAGGTAGTGGTACGTGATCCGTGAATCGAAGGATCTAATTTTAATTTTTCGTTTTTGATGTAACTGTATTTTATTTTATTTTATTTCCAAGACAATAAACTCGTGTTCCGCGGCAAAATGATAATAAACGAGAAGGAACGTGTGAGTCGCTTCTGGGGACGCGACTCTACTTATACCCGTACTCAGTCAGTATATACATTTTTGAGCTTATGATTTTATAGAATTAAAAAATTTTAAAAAAAATTTACATTTTACATTTTTTTGCTACATCTGTTATCTACATCTACATATATTATGTATATTCTACATCTAACATGTAGATTATACATGTACAATTTAGATTCTACATCTCCTCCGCTAGGGGTTGCTCGCGCACTGAACGAGGCAGAGTGTGCGAGCGAGAAAGAGAATCAGTAGCGTCAGCAGCGCTGGAGAAGGAGAGGGAACCAACAGAAAATAAATGTCTTCATTCTGGCTATAATTATGATCCGATCTAGTTCAGATTCGGCAATCTGGTAGATATGGGCATTCTCTGCGATACTGCGTTTTTAGTTTTATCTTATCTTTAAAAATATGCCTGCCGCAGATTTTCGTCCTTTGTGGTGGCGGAAGGGGGCGAGGCGAAATTTTGAAATACACTTGTAGCAGTGTGATATCTCATAAGTCTGGAAACCAAATTTGGTTGCTCTAGCTCTTATAGTCTCTCAGATCTAGGCGCTCATCAAGACGGACAGACGGACGGATGGACAGACGGACATGGCTATATCGACTCGGCTATTGATGCTGATCAAGAATATATATACTTTATGGGGTCGGAAACGTTTCCTTCTCTGCGGTGCACACATCCACTTTTACCACAAATCTAATATACCCCTTAACTCTTTTTTGAGTACGGGTATAAAAACTCGGGGAGCCATCCTTTAAGCGGTCTATAAATGAGCCACTATTACATGGACTTTTAAAACAATATGTATGTATACATTTGTATGTAAGATAGAAGGAATGAATACTTCACTTTTTTCAACTTTATTTTATTTATGCAAAAATCGATTATTTAATTCAATGTACAACTGAGATTACAAATTGAAACGGAAAATTCGCCTATTGAACAGAGAAACAACCAAACGGTCAATGTAAATTTTAAGAAGTCTTTTGAAAAATGTACACACAAATAATATGAATACAAAGATATAAACTACTTTACAATTGCTGTAGGTTGCCTTCAAATGCAGTTGGAAATGTTTCGTTCTCTGCAAAAAATGCATTTAAGCAATTACAATTAAGAAATGTTTGAAATAGATTAAACATTTTAAAATATCCTCAAGGTGTAGATAACCAATTATAAAATGGATATATTTCGGTCGCGGGGATAAATGCATACGCATGAGACAATACGCAAGAACATTTTTTAATCCGGTTTTTTATACATCGGTTCTATCTTGGCATGCACCATAATTTGCTCGTATTGCTTTTCTTTACTAGGCCAGGTTGACGAATTTTTAGGGTTCAGGTTTATAGACTTATTTAAAACATATTAATTCTTCTTTTTAACTAATTGCCAAATAATTGTGGTTCATTCACTATTGACTATGACGCGTTCTTGTTTATTCTTCGGATGCTACTGATGATGTTCGGGGTATTACTCGGAGAATGCTTTCCAAGCGTGCCTGACGCTTAGAATCATTTAAGCTTGGCATAAGTATCAACCTTTTTGTGAAACTGATTGTAGTATTCCAAAGCGACGTTGCGCGTCTGATTCAGAGCCTGATTGATGTTTTCTGGCGAGAAGCGGCCGCTAAAATTACAGAAGACTCAGTAATGCATTCTTTAATCTATGGGAGTAAAACTTACACCAAAACATTTTCCTTGATTAGCGTGGCTGATTTGTCATAGCTATTGATGGCCAAATCACAAGCTCCCGAAGCGAAAGCCTCAAGTTTCCCTGACAGATTGGGCACATATTGATCAATCTACAAAACATTAATTCGTTAACAAAGGAAATACAGGTCGAAATAGACGGATCACTTCTAAACCGGTTTAAAGAATACGTTGAGAAATTACCCCATCTTAAAATTTAAAAAAATTACGTACAAACTTGGCAAGCACGGGCCACTTGGTATTGAAGTATCCCTTGCCGGATTGTATGATATTGCATGCTGCATTCCTCGCCAGCTTCCACAGATCTCCAGCAGTCTTAATTGCTGGTTCTGCATATGGTGGGACATGTTCCTCAGCCCATTTATAGCCCCGGGCACTTGCTCCCATGGTCACATACCAGGCCTTCTGGACATGTGGCAAAACTCCAGCGTTTTTCAGTACTTTGCCTGTGGCTGATTTCTCAAACAGCCCCTTGCCATTGACCTCGGTATCATAGCAGAGAGCGCCGGCAATCAGTGCAATGATGAAAACACTACCTAAAGTCCACTTGCAGCAGCCACATTTCTTTTTCTGTGTCGCAGAATTTTGTTTGTTCTTCTTTTGCTGTGCGCTGCTTTTCTCCTGAACCGTCTTGTGGGGGTAGGAATAAAGTTCTTATTAGTATTAAAGTAAATTGGAGGAGGCTTATTTTCGATAAGTTTGTTCTTTACCTTTTTGGCAGCGGTCACTTGTTTGCCACCCTGTTTGCTACTTTTCGGTTTTACCTGAGCCATTTTATATTTAATTTCACTTAAATTTTTGATAATTTCACTTAAATTTTGGATAACTACGAGTATTTCTAGTTTTCTTCAGCTGTTGCAAAATATTTCGGAATTAAAAAATGACGTGTTGTGTTTTGAGTATTGTAATTGTGTTTGCTAAAAAGTATGAAGAGGGCTTTTTAAGCTTTTATATTGAGCTTTTGATGCAGCTTAGCGCTAATGAATTTCTATGAAGACGATTTGGGGTTCTTCAAGGGACAGGGCGAACGGTGGGAGAAATGCGTTCCAGCAAATGGAGGCAGATGCATTTGTCGACACATAATGATCAAGCCCAGTGTCAGAGCCAGTTTTTTTAAGTTCAGAGTCAGGAAAGGTGGCTACACTAGGAATTTGATAAGGATTTTGGGAAGAGGAACAAAACATCAGGCGAGTAATCTCATAGTAAATGGCGTTGGAATGTACTTTACGGGACTACTGTAGAAGAAAGACAGCCCACACAAGAGTCACTATCAACGACTATCAACGAGTCAACGACCTTTAACAGAAGGCTTGAAACTGTAATGGTATTCAAAAAAGTTTTTATGTATGTATTCATGTAAATAACATGGATATGTTTGCCATAGCTTCTCTCATTTGTCTTTGCTGTTTTTATGAAGTTTAATACTTGTGAGTAGCTTAAAATCTACATACATAAAGCTTTGGTAAGACATCGAAAAACTCTGCCGATCATGATAAACAATGGACAGACATGCCACGTGTTTAAACAAGATTCATCCCAATTGCTTGTTGTTTCTTCTTGGTCTCTTCAACTTCTTAAGCAGCGATAAGTATTTGTGACGTGGATAACTTCAAGGGGAGAGACGACAAAGTGACACCATCGCTAAATGTATTAGGAATTACAGTTCGCAGAGGTGCGCACAATCTAAAAAGAGATGGCCAGAGAGGGGCGGCGAATGGCATTCGACAGCCAATCATAACTTGAACACATCATTCGCATCGACGCCGGCCTCTTAGATTGCTTTTGCTAGAAGCAAGATCACAAAATTTGGTATACTGATAGGGCAAGGAGTCATAAATTTACTGATAAATACAATTTTGAAAGCACTTTTTCCGAAAGCAACACGTCCGGTCAGAGAAAATTAAGCGGCAACTCCACCGCATGGCAACGCCATGAAAAAATGCACCTAGTTAGTACCAATACACAAGCGCGTCACACACAGGCACACGCACACCGTTGAAGACGAGTCGTACACGTAGACAAAAAAACGCACTTTCAACTGCAACAACAGTTTAGGAGCGAAAAATTAAATATATTCGCAGTAAAAACGAAAAATTAATTGAAGGGGAGAAAATTAGCTCAGACGCCGGCAAACGTTTCTCTCTGACGGCAACGAAGTGACGTCGCGTTGGCAGCGTCCCTCTGAATATTTATTTTATTGGTAATTTCGGTTGCTTTACGCGAAAATAAACTGTACAAATTTTAAAAAGACCGATTTCGATTAAGCCTTCTTCATCCTTTTTAGCACCAATTGCAACTATTGAACACTTAAGAAATTGAATTAATCTTTTCTTTTATACCTTCGTTTCCCTTTTCCCGACAGCAATGTGACCGGACTGACATACGAATAAATTCGTATCTTAAGCCTAGTGCTCAGATGACCGAGTGTGACCAGATGTGTATGCTCTACGGTTACACTGATTTATTTTTTTTTACAAAAATAATCTGTTTAAATTTCAAATTTTGTATTAAAGCAAGCAGATATGTTTTATTTTAGGGCGATGTAAAGCTTTGAGGACGAAAATGTACGGAGAAAGCACAGAAATATTGAAAAAACTCCCTAATTTCGGGAAATAAATTCCAGATTAATTTCTTATTCGGTCAACAAAAAACTTAGGCGATTTGAGTACTGGGATTAACAAATAACTTCCTGTGAAGTTGAAAACTTATGTACACATGGTCCAAACCGCGGACTATTCACGGAGTAGAATAGAAAACTCACCACTAAAACTTCTATTAAATCATTAAGGCAGCTTTCTTTCCGTTTACTTGACTGCAGCTCATCATTTAAAATAGGCAAATCATGTAGAAAAGAGTGATATACTGGCGACTTTGCTAGCAAATTAGTAGAAGTCTCCCAGTCCAAGTCTGAAACATTTAAAATTACAAAAATTATCGATGAGATGTACATTTGCATGTGCATACCTATAGCTTGCAATAGCAATAAGCTGGCTAACTGCTGCTTTTTGTAGTTCATTCGCCAAACTTTCAAGCAATCATCACCGCCGCTGCTGAGAAGACAACTCAGGCATCCTTCAATCTCGTTGTTTGGCTTACTTACAGTCGTAATGTCGCGAAAAAGCGTCAAGAAGATATTCGCGTGCTTAACCGGACTGGAAATGTACTTTTGCTGTAAATACAAAAACAGAAATGGAGTCAGTAGCAGCACCCTCAACTGTGATCTATACTCACCAGCAATTGACTTGCACTCCGCTTCAGGCTTTGCTGGAGCTCCTTGGGTAGATTATTATAGGTAGCGTTCAGTGAGTTGTAGGCGGCAAAAAATTCATTCTGATTAAGCAGCAATATATCCTCCGAGGTCCGTACTGCAGCTGCATTGAGAACTCTTTCTATATACTCCACTACAAATTTGGAGTAGTTTTTCAGTTCCAAATTGGGTAACATTAAATTCTGCCAGATCTTAACACCCTCATTTAGTGATGTATAGCCGCCCTGTCCGATGGCCCACAAAATACTCAAACAAATGCTGCTCCTATTTTGATAGCAATTTCTCAGTAAAGCGGTCTTGGCAAAGTTTTTAGAACAAATACTGGGATAAGCTTGGCCTATTAACTGTAGCATAAACTTATAGCCTACCACCACCGTCTGATTATTGTTAAGATCAGTAGTCATACCGTCCAATAGATAGTGAAAAAAATACTCTAGATTTGACTCGCCTACGCTACCTAAGAATTCAACAACTAATTTCTTGAGTGCAGCACTCGCCAGATTACTAGGATACTGAGCAGAACGTCCAGAGAAAACGGGATCGCAATCGTAGGATAGGGCTCCATTGAAATAAAGGGCAATCTGTAAGGAAATCAAATAATGCAGATTAAATTAATAATTCATATTACTTTTTAGTTATATTGTTCCTTTAAAAAGAGTTCTACTGGGTACTTCTTTTTGTTATTTCCACGCAAATTGAGCTTTCCTCAAGCTCTTTCCCCGAGATTTAAGATAAGTGCGTGGAGTGCTCGAATTAAGTTAACGGGGTTCTCTTCGTTTTTTATCGTACTATGTAATGGGCGACTATAGCGATGTGCTTACATGACTGAGCCATCGCAACTCAGAGCCAGGACAGCTAAGTTTTACTTGCTCCAGCTGAGAAGCAAAATCATCCGGAGTTATATGCTTCAGGGCCTGTTCTAGTGTTTTGGGCTTAGCTGGCTGTTTGGTTGATCCGCCTCCTCTACTCCCTCCAGTCGTAATTGTTTTTATGTTGTTTTTCTTGACCGGCGACTTGTTTTTCGATGATGAGGCACTTGAACTAGATTTTGCAGGCGAATTCGATTTGTAGTTGTTGTCGTCGCTAGTAGCAAACAAATTGCGATATTGCTGGGATGGCACTGGGAGAATGTAATGGGTGAATTTTAATCTCTTTCAATGCCAATTTATTGCAAATATGTATGTACTTACAGAGCTCCTCTAGCTTTGGCGTTTGAGCTGCAATACGTTTCTGTTCCGTATGTGCATAAACTTTTTTATCAAGATTTTTTTGTTTGCGGGACTTGGTAACAACTTCCCATTGATTAGACATATTTACAATTATTTAACTGGAAGATTGACGCGCTAGTATCGGCTATACTAAACAGTATTTTAAACAGTCTGATATCTTAACATGAGGTCGAGTAAATAATAGCAGCAGCGAAGCCGACAGCGCTGACATCCTCCGAGATTGCGTGGATATTCCTCGATTTTTATATTCGGCTTAAGACTACTAGCTAGATAGAGCCCGTAGCACTGAACATATAATTTTGTCCGATAAATTAATCAATTTCCTGCAAAATTTTCTTATTTTAAGTACTCATTTTTATTTGATTATTCATAAAACAAGGTTTAATCAAAAGCATTGGGGTCGAAAACTATTTACGAACACGGATTCGGAGCTGAATTCGAAATGGAACTGGTTCACAGAAACGAATATGTAAACTATTCTTTTAAAGCCTAGTACTCAGACGCGCTAAATTTTCCGCAATAGCATTAGACTTTGCTAACTGATTAGCTGGAGAAAATAAAAATGGCCTTATGGTACTAAAGCCTAGTACTCAGATCCAAAAATTGTTTGCTAGCATATGTCATATATTCATCTAGCGGCAAGTGGTGTGACCAGAGGTGTGCACTGCATTCCGTACGGTTACGCTGCTCAGACAGCTGCTTGGTTTTGTTTAAAGTTAATAAAATTCACTTCTTCGGCTGGGTCGCTCTTCCCCAGTCATATCCTGGGCTCCCCAATATTTTATTGGCAAGGTAATGTGTCTGACTATCAGCAGCAGCAGATGGCGACGCTTCCCGTGCCGACCACCGTGAAGACAAAATTGTTTGACAACAATATGAAAATTTATGAAAATTAATAAAAATAATATATTATAATATCCATATTTCATTTCCATTTCATATAATGCGGTATCAATTAGATTCTATTTGTCTTTATTATTTAAATATTTCATTGGGTTTTTTGTTCTCGTTTTGCAATGTTTACGCTAGCAAACAGTTTTTGGGTCTGAGTACTAGGCTTAAACCTATGTAAAAAAAACTGCGTCTTCGGCAAGACGCAAGAAGCATGACGCAGTCCCAGTCTAAACATCCTATAAATCACACATTTTTTGTGAAAATAAAAGCCGGAGCCTACCCTAATGACTAAAATAAACGTAATCCATTAAAGTTCTTAACTTCAATTTTATAAGCAAAGGTTTCCGAAGGTTACCTTCATTGCAGCCAGTTTCAGTTGCCTTCGATGACCTACTTTATAAATATAGCCATCTTCGTACATGTGTACATTAGGCTGGGCCAAAAAACTTTTTTTCCAAATTTAATAGTAATTTACATTATTTTATTTTCATACTCGTACTCAAAAAAGAGTTAAGGTATATTAGATGTGTGGTAAAAGTGGATGTGTGTAACGCAGATAAGGAAACGTTTCCGACCCCATAAAGTATATATATTCTTGATCAGCATCAATAGCCGAGTCGATAGAGTCTGTCCGTCTATCCGTCTGACCGTCTGTCCGTCTTGTTTGACGCCTGGATCTTAGAGACTATAAGAGCTAGGGCAACCAACTTTGGTTTCCAGACTCATGTGATATCCCACTGCTACAAGTGTATTTCAAAATTTCGCCCCGCCCCCTTCCGCCCACACAAAGGACGAAAATCTGTGGCAGGCACATTTTGATACGATAACTAACGTAGATCACAACTACCAATTGCCTCTGACAGATCGGACATGCCGAATGAGTTTAGTTGCTCCCCCGCCCCCTTCCGGAAGAGACCGCACCATCCTTCCGCCGCACCGCCGCGTTCGTGGCGGCACCCCTAGCGGGGAGATGGGGCAAAAAAGGTACCTGTACAATCTACATGTTAGATGTAAATATACATTGTAGATGTGATACGTGCAGATGTTTTTTCAATTTTTTCTATTATGCTCAGTTTACTGACTGAGTACGGGTGTAAGTAGAGTCGCGCCCCCAGAAACGACTCACACGTTCCTTCTCGTTTTTTATATTTTTTAGAGGTTGCTACCGAATTTCACTCAAAATTTTAATCAAGAAAATTTAAAAAAATTGTTGGCTGAATGAGTTGGATAATTGGTGAAATCTATTGCATATATTGTAACCCGCAAACAGTAGCGTAAAAAACCTGCACAAGTTTTTGCGAACTAGTTAACTAAATATATCAGCCTCAGCTGAACTTCTTGATTTTCACCAATCGTTAATTTTTTAACAGTAACTAAAAAAAAATAAAAATACCTTATTATCAATATGAACTAGTTTCTAAGTTTCAATATTATTTAAAAAAAAACGAATTAATTTTTTTTTAAGGTATATTTACCCAAAAATTTATATTTTCTTTTCGTGGTAGCAACCCCCAAACATAGAACTAAAAATTTGAAAAAAATTGTATAATTTTATTGAATAACAAAGAACAGAATTGGGGGGTGTTCACTTGAAAAAACAGAAGAAAAAAATTGTTGGTCAAATTTTGGACCAGCCTAGTGTACATACTCATTTAAAAAAATTTGTTTACGGTATGATCACTGCGCAATCTTGGACAATCCTGACGTCTAGTCTGATTATGAGAAGATGAATACGTGTATGCAAATAAGTACATACGTATGTACTTATGTATCTAGAAATGTACGTAAATGTACGAACAAATAGGTGTACGAGGGCAGATTGAAAAGAACCCACTTAAGCAATTATTCTATTCTTCTTATGCTAAGCAAGTTTCAGGCTGCAAAATATTGAGAATTGCGCTATCGGAACCCATTGTATTCTCCGTACTGGGCATCGTACGATCCAAACTTTATCTTAAAGTCGTCAAAGATTAATTAAAAATTAAAAATTGGATGCTCTTACCTGGTGGATCTAGACAATTTCTCTAAAAGTAGAGTATTTTGGGAAAAAACTGTTTTTTTCCAGAAAACTGATTCCATGCGGTATCAGTAACATCCCGAACATTAACTTTGGCAGATAACACTACTCAACAAAATTGAACTTTTTCTTTAGGCTGTGGACCAAAAACAAAATACCACAAAAAATGATGAAATTTGAATTTTTAAGCTTAATATCTTCCAGGCGTAAAGCTGCAGATACAAAGTAACTGGAAGGGACTTATAGCTGCATTTGTCAGCCACAGCCACAGCCTAATTGTCGTGTTGACTAGTGTAATTCATTTAAAACAAGCATATATTTTTCTTAAAACATTATGCTTGATAAGGCTCCGTCGTGCAAAATCCGACTCGACTTGACCAAAATCATCTAACCGCTTATGTATCTGTTCTGTTCTGGAATCTGTTTTTAAGGGTATTTTATTTAATTTCCGTTAAATGGTCCAGATGATAAGAAGATAACATTGACCTCCAATTTTTTTCGACCCGTACATATCGGTTATTGAACAGTAAATTAAAGAATTATAATTAAATTCAAAACATAGCAGAGGCAAACATATTCTATTTTATGGTTGTATTCCACCAGAATTAAATTTATGAAGCTATGAGACCAGATAGTGTGAACAAAACTCGTTGGCACTTCTGGAATCGTTAATCAATTTAGCAAACTATCTATCAATTTTAATGCAAATTGTTTTAGTAATTAGAGCAGTAAGGGGTATCTTATGGTCGGAGCTGGCTTGTTTCTTCTTATCGAAGCTTCTCTACGCACGTACGTCTATAATTTTTCTCGCCCCAACAACGTTATTTAATGCCCCGCATTCAGTTAGAACTGGGAATTCATAATATTAAAACGTCCCACTGTTAAAACAATGAAAAATATAGCAACTTTTCTATGTATCCTTGTGGTACTTGGCCTTGGCTGGCTATACGAAGGCACTGCCCGCGCGGATAGCGACAGCGACAGCAGCAGCAGCAGTAGCAGTGGGGAGCATAAATATAAATACGGAGAAAAAAAAAACAAGAACAAATACAACTTTCCAGCGTATCCGAGTCCATACGCATACAATCCGTATCCCTATCCATACCCACAAAACAATTACAACCCATATCCGTACAATCAGTTCATGCCGTCTTATCAGCCGCCCAGTTATAGCCCGTATCCTTACAACCAGTTTATGCCACCTTATCCACCTCATCAAGGGACTTCGGCTCCGGTTGCGGGCCCAAATCCAATCTGGAACTATAATGGACCTCCAAATCAGCAACCAGCTCTCGCTCCGGGACAGGCTCCACCACCACCCGCCTCAAGTGTAATCAATCACTCTCTTAAAGTCAACAAAGAATACAACGAAGACGGACACCATACTTAGCAATTTTTTAAAAATAAAACAACATTAAACAGAAACAGTGAAATAAATTTTCGAGTATTTATGCACGCACGCTTTGACTTGAAATAACTTATATAAATTTTTTCTTTTTTAACCCATCAACACCCATATGATGAAACTTTCTTACTTTGCACACTTTCAAATAATGAAACTATTATGATAAGATCCTTCAAAACTCGTCGGACAAAAATTGTCTCTAGAACGAGCAGGAGCGTGGTGAGCCGCAGCAAGATCTGCGTCTCTACTTTTATACTTGGCATATATTTTACAATATATTTTATACGTAGGTATACCGTAAACGCAGGAATTGGTATAGTAGCCAAAGACTGCTGCATGATCTATCTCTATCTGTCTTTTGGTATCGCCGTTCTTAAAAGAGACGAATTGATTTGTTGTTTAATGCGGGGTTCTCTTCGCGATCTCTCTGAATTTTTCTCGCGATTGCCATGAAAGGTGGGAAAAACATAGAGAAAGAGAAGAAGTGCGACTGCTAACTAATAAACTGTTCGAGTACTGAGTATAAAATCGAAACAGGTGAACCTGACCCAAGGATGACTGAACCGTTTTCGAACAGTACTTTGAAGACCAACTTATATTTTAAGCTCAAATTCACATGCATTTTTTGTCTCTGTTCTTTGTTCGCATATGGCATATGCAATTTCCCTGCTCTATTAATGGAAAGCTTAATAAAACTCAGAGTGCCAATGATAGCATAGCCAGTAGGGAGCGCCGTGAGCTAATTGAGTCTACTATTCATCGTGAAGCATTCGCTTGGTAGTGCGTCTTGCTTGCGGTGGTGATCGAAATCTGCTGCGCATTGTGTAATAACCAGGCAGTTGCTGCTGGTTTTGCTCTTGAAGACGCTGTAGCTGCTGCTACCCATTAGAACTCGCGGCCGAACCATTGACTGTCCGCATTGACTGCAACGCATTAGAGATGTGCTTGCTCTCCTTGGAAGGACTGCTACTGGGAGGCGCCAACATGCTGGCCGCACCATGTGTCTAATCAGCGTAGAACGAACAGCGTGGAACGCGTGGGGCATTGTGTGTCCAGATTGAACTGTAGGTTCGCTTCGACCGGGATGTGCTGGTGGTAGGTTGCTGTTGCTGCTGATATTTGTTGTCCAGGTGTCCATTGGGATGAGTTGACCCGCAGTTGTTGACTCTGCAGCAACATTTGCTTGTTAGGGTCGTTGGGATTGAAGGCGCTACTCCTGTGGGGAAAAGAAGAAAGGAAATTAAAATTATTAATGTATATTAAACTGTTGCGGAGGAAACCACCACTCTTCCTCATCAGCGATCTTTCATTTCCAATTAAGGAAAATGTGGTCAAGCCATATAAATAGTATAAATAGTAACATGCGATCAGTTACATTCATATCCATACAGAATATGCATATCACATGCTACAGTTTTTTGTTTAAGCCATATAAATCGTATTAATCATATAATCAATCGCATGTTACACTTATAAATTTCCACACAGAATTTGGATATCACATACTACAGTTTTTTTAAAATTTACATTTATAATTTCAAAGTTGTATGTACCTAAATTTGTTCAATTTGAGACTTCTATTATTTTTTCATTCTTTTGTTCACTTATGCCCACTGACTGTCTACTACTGTCTTTGCTGCAAAAAACACAGCCGGAGCACCATACCCATTCATCCTTAACCACATTTTTATAGCCGTACTCAAAAAGAGTTAAAGAGGTATATTAGATTTGTGGTAAAAGTGTGTAACGCTCGCATGCAATGATCTTGGTTTCCCTATTAAGGCTAATTATATTTCTAGCATAGTTTGGGGTGGGTGCGTGCAAACTCTGGACTTAGAACAGCTGAGCTAAGCTTGAGCCACTGCAGTGCAGTGGACTCTTTCGCTCTAGAGTCCGTTTAGATCTTTAGATCGTATTTAAACAGATAAAAAGGGCAGGTCGTTCTCATTTGAAAATTCTAAGCTGTGGATCCGTTCGAGAGTCCAAAACGTTCCGAAAAACGATGATATTTTTTTACCGAAAAAGTACATAGCTGTCCGTAGTAAAAGCAAAAAGTGTGCAAAATTTAAATTCTGTGCTTTGTTGTGCTGTGAGTGAAGCTTACAAACAAGCAAAAAAGTGCCGAGAGTTCGGAGAAAACTCCCTTGGCTTTGCGGCAGCCACGCTGCTGCCACGACTCACACCACGTCGGTGGAAAAGACCCGACCAACGATCCTCCCCTGTTCGAAAACAGACAAGAACGGTATGTTTAAAGCCCTGTGGGGAAAAGTAGGAGTTGTAGGCTCATAGAGTTTTCGTTTTTTTTTCTCGCCTTAGTGCCTTGGCCGCGATTGCCGCTTCAATCTATGCACCCACACCAGGTCAAGCCGCTATCTATTACCCGGCCGCCTTACCTTGGTGTGGGCCAGTTATATTTTCACCCCGATTGGAAACGACTGAATTTTCCATGCGAAGTTACATAACCTGCACCGGCCGTAACATCTGCGCAGCCGCCACGCGTTGCCGTCGCTGCACAGAGCATGCTGCTGAAAGTAGCCGACTACCGCATCAACTAGCGGAGATGGAGCCGCTGTGGATGCCGTATTAAATTTAGCGTAGCATAGTGTATTTTTTCTATATCTTTCTCTACTTATTTTCTTGCCTTTATACCGTTTTTGGTTCCTTCTTCTAAGCTTAAGAATAGTAAGCCCTCCAAAGTACCGCTGCCTTTAATTACTTACTTACTTTGTGTTTTTGGTAAAAAAGAAAAAAAACTTTATATATATATACCCCCTTTGAATAACCACCCGACATGGGCCAACCGTAACAAACAGCTTCCACAGAAAGCCGTAAGTGAGAAAAGAAAAAAAATTAATTTTCCATTTCCCTTTTGTGCGGGTATTCTCTTAAGCCAAACGGGCGTGCGCGAACGGTGTTATGCCGCTATGCCTGCGTAAAGCTTTTAACCAGAGCTTTCCGTTAGGTTTAGTCGGTAGTTCCGTTTTTCGTTTTGGTTTTTTTCCCGAATTGTTTGCATGTACATGTCTGTCTGTCCGTCTGTCTGTCCGTCTGTCTGTCTGTCTTTCCGTCTTGTTTGACGCCTGGATCTCAGAGACTATGAAAGCTAGAGGAACCAAATTTTGTTTCCAGACTCATGTCATATCACACTGCTACAAGTGTATTTCAAAACTTTTGGAATAACTTCCCAATGGGAATTGGGATCGCGATCAGGTACCAAATGTACAACCCTTTTTTGTTTGCTTTGTTCCCAATTGGCAGTTGGGCCCGCAACCTTCGAAAAGGTATTTTTTGTTCATTTTTTCCATATTTTAGGTTTGGTTAACGAATTTTAGCTCCAAAGTCTCTCCATAGATTTTAATGAGCGATACCTTGAACGACGCCAAATTAATGCACCTATATAGAGGACACAGGATATAATTTTTTTTCTACTTCGATTTCGATTTGAAGTAGTGTTATTGATTGATTCGTTGTTTCCGCCAAACCTACAGTATCGGCATCTTCTCCTGCAATTTTGGGCTCAACAACGTGTGTATTCACTTGCCTTCGTGATTTAACAATGTAGTTAAGGGAAAGCCATACTCTTCACAAAACTGACAATGATTCAAATAATTTTGTATGAATTGATACTGTCTTGGCACAATAAACAAATTATTTGGGGGCACAAAACTTTCTTGCCCTATCAAAATTCGATTTCGGGGAGTGGAGTTCGGAACAGTTAGACAATTCTTCTGACTGTTCCGACGACGCTGGCAAGACACGTGTTTTGTAATTAGGAATTTTTATGTTTTCCACATTGGCGATGATGGCAATTTTTTATGCTCATATGGGCAGTTCCGCCAAAGGTCCACCGGGCCAAAAATCATTAAAAGACAATAAAAAAATATCATATCAAACAAACATAACATACATATCAATTTTTCCAAATTTTTTGAAAGTTCACATTTTTGGTATTTTCTGGTATTTTTATAGACATGTTTTCTTTTACTATCTCCTACGAAACAGATGATTCTTAATAAGTTTTCTGCTTAAAGTCTTTCTAAAATTTTGAACTACCTACAAAAATTATCAGAACATTTGTCCAACATCGGCTAACAGTATATTTTTATTATCGCGGAATTTTTAACGTCACGTTAGTAACATTCGTCAGATGCCTCCGCCGACTTACATAAAAAAACAGGGAAGGTTTTTTATTTAATAACTTTGAACATGAACACTACATATTTCATATAGTACATGCATACATTTGTATACAGATAAACCTACCCAATTCCCTCCCTCGAAAACCACTTCTGTTTTATGTAACGCAATCTTAGGTCACATTTTGCCACTTTTTTGGTGAATATATGGCTTAACCAATTCATATTAAACAAGGATAATCTCATATTAGGGAGTGATCTAAATGCTCTGAGAGCTGCTTGGCTGTCTGAGAAGACGCACACTGAGTTTGTCTAAAGAAAATTTGGAGACGATGAAGATAGCAGTTGCGGGAGTCTCGTTAAGATTCCCGAGTGTCCAAACGCGGATATTTTCAAAAGTTTGGATTCCCTCATTCTGAGAGCAGAAAGTGTTGGCACCTTTTTCCCCATCAGTTCTACAGGGAGAAGATACAACATGGTATCAAGGGCTTCGCCTGGGGTAGTACGTAGTCCACCTATTATGCATAGCTCTGACATGCGTTGAACTCGGCTAAGTTTGCTAAGACAAGTTTCCTTGTCTAGGGCTGGCCACCAAACCACCACTCCGTACATCAGGATTGGTCGTATGATGGCGGTATATAACCACCGGACTATATACGGGGTCATTCCCCATTTGAGTCCGATGGTTTTTCTGCAGGTATAGAGGGCCACAGTGGCCTTCTTTGCCCTATCCTCTGCTACCCTACCCTGTTACCCCATGCTCAGTTTCCAATCGAGCTTCCTGTCGAGGACCAGACCAAGATACTTGGCATTATTGCTAAAAACTAGCGCTTCTTCGCAGAGTTTTGGGTGAGTCAGTGTCGGAATCTTGTACTTCCTGGTGAAGAGTACTAGTTCCGTTTTGGACGGATTAACAGCCAGCCCGCATTTGTCTGCCCAC